TTTTTTTTTTTTTTTTGGCTGGCAGTTTTCATCCGCAGTCTTCTAGATGCCAAGGACGAAGCGATACCAATCATCTAAGGGGCCCTTCATTTCCCAACACGTCAGTAAGATTTAGAGTGAAAACTCACACACGTCAGTAAGATTTGCTCACAAATTTCGCCAATTAATATTTCAGTTATGCGTTACACGAAGAAAGCTGAGTGAGGCGGACAGTACTCTGCAGTGAAGTGAAATGAGGAGTAGTAATTGGATGAGATGCAAACGCTAGTCACCCAACTGCTACCTCCAAGTAGTGGAATGGAAAAAGCAAAGGAACCAAACCTGAATCTGGTTGCAGACCACGTCCTGGTATATTCGCCAAGTCTGGGCAAAGATAAGACGAAAAATGCGGAGAACAAGATAAGTGTGTCCGAACTAGAAAGGATGGCGAGATACCAGTTGATGGATGATGAGAACATTAGTCGGTGGGTGAATATACGAATCGAGGTAATATTTGCACAGAGGCCGAAGATAATTATTGGTAAGGTAATAAGACCAAGCAGTAGCCGTTCCTCATATGCGTAAAACTGATAAGACATATGACATTCACAGTCAACAGATAATATTGTGCACCATTCCGGTGGCTCTTCATCGTTCATGTATTCGCTTCCAGTGGTGCTACTACTGCTGCTGAGAAACAGCGAAGTTTGTGAAGTTGTATACGGTTCAGTTCCCGAAAACTGAGGGAGAACGCTGGTCTGAAGTGTGCTTTCTTCGGAGACCGCATCCATAATTAAACAGCAAAATACACCTCTGGAATCATTGAGACCGTGGAACAGAAACAAAAGAGACAAAATGTAGCCTAGGCTGCTAGAAAGCATGTGCCCTTTGGAGTCCCACCCCCCCTGAAAAGAAACATGAATGGAGCAAAAGAGCTGAATCCCCTCAGCAGCCGCCTCTATTTGCAACTAGCAGCAGCAGTGGCAGCAACACAGCCACTAACGGATTGGATGGATATTGAGTACACAAATATAATCACCAGCAGCCTGAACAGCGCTCCTCAGTGATGCGGCGCATTCGGGAATCGCTGCTCATAGCGTTCATCGCGAAGGAACTTCGCCGAAACCAATCGACCTGTAAAAAATTTACTTTTTTTATCGCAGCAATACATCAACCACGTGAAATACCGCCCCAAAAATCCATTAACATCTGATAATGACAAGCAAACACAAGCCGAGCTAAATTAACACCAACAAAAGCAGAGTTTTTAGCATCAGAAAAAAAAACTGAGTAGAGCAGAAAAGAGGATGCCTTAGACAGACAATAAAATCGTTGACCAAGACCACGCGCAACAAATGACCTAAAGATTTTTGTACCACAGCAACTACTGGCGAGATAACCAAGGCAGCTCAGTGAACCGTTTGGGGTCCGATGCTTTATGGGTAATGTTGCTTATAAGCACAGATTATGCTCAGCCGCACCAAGAACTTCTGTTTTGAGTTGTACCACATCTGATCATACAACGATTTTTATCCATTGCAAATAAGTGTACAAAATATAATTTACGGCACTTTAGGCACAGAGTAACGAACGCAAATAATGTTTAAAAAATATACATTTTGTTATGATGTCCCTTCTGTAGAAATAAGATGCAGAGGAGAGAGTCGAGGGGGTGCCCACTTCCGCATAGATAGGCGATCCAAATTTACTACGAGGGAAAAAAAATGGAAAAAATTGAATTATTTGTGCCGAAAAAGAAACGCGAAAAAAAAAAAAGAATATTAGTGACAGGAAACCGATGCAGTACTGCGGCAGAGACAAAATACGTGAAAACTATCGGAGTAAATGCCCAACTTGGATATGTTAGATCCTCTCCACTAGCTGATGGAATGAAGAGACCAGGATCCCGCGAATTTCTTCAAGCACTCAGAAATCTAAGCAATGAATTCGTTTTTCAACAGATACACTGAAATGTGTTCTGGCTAGCTAAAATCCAACAATTCGTCCTGGAGCAGTAGATGCTGTAAAATTACACATTACTTCGTCTACTTTCTCAAAATCTTCAAATTTCTGTTATGGCTTTCAAAATTCTTGATTCTTTATTACCGGCTTCTTCCCCACCTGCTGCTGTCTTTCGCATATTTAATCGCTCTCACTTCTTGTCATCTATCCTTTGTAATGGATATGCACTCCGTATTTGGGAGTGCAAATGAATTACCATTTCAGTGCATATTAAAATTCGACTTGGCATTTTATTAATTTTCGCGAAGCTGCGAAAGATGAACTCACACTGGCGCACTGTCAGCTTTTTCAACATTTAGATGGCCAGGTTTGTATTGCGGTGTTCTCAGAACAGGTTCGAGTATTTAGCTTGTTGCGCACGCACATCCGTAGTTGCGATGAACGCTTCAGTCCCTCCAACTACTCGAATGTGCGGAGGTGGCCTTTTCCGGCAAGATATTCGACATGATAAGTGTGTTGCTCAGACTACTGCTAATTACAGAAAAAACGCTATGTTGCTGAATTTATTAATAATCAGACTCATACTTTATGACACTTCCAGTTGCAACTAAGATATAGCCTGCCCTGGAACCTGCATCACATCATGAATTCAACTACCTCGTCACAGACAAGGGAAGGTCGATTACAGATGTGCCAATCATTCTTGATTCAGCTGTTTTCATGCAACACAGTCGTCTTGTGAGACTGGAAACGAGATCCGATTTCAAAAAGGAAGCGCGAATTCTCAAAAAAAGTAAAAAATCCCGTCGTCATAGGGCCGCATTCCATCCCTTTCCTTGCAGTCCACTGAAAGCAAGAAATCATATACTGCAATAGATCACACAGACGCCGACTACACCGATAAGCTACCAAGAATTTTATGAAATTTTTCTCGTAAAAAAACGCTGTAGCAGCAACAAATATCACTAGAAGAATCAAAAATCTTCCCAGCCAAGAAATTCTTTCAGTTCTTCAAACCAAATGAAATAGCGGCGCGCTCCAGGGCATCCGATGCAATCATGCGTTTTGCTCGATTTCGATCAGCGGGTTTTTGCCTTCTAAGGATTTTTACTGTTTTACACTTTGGTCTGTAGAAAACAGTCGATCTCCTGTTTGGCTCCTAAGCTACGAAATTTCTTAATTAAAATTTCACATACTAGTACGTGCAAACGTACGTGAAAGTTGAATTTGAAACAATGGGCGGGGAACACTGTTCACAAATTTTAACCTTCTGGTTCTTTGGCTTGTGAATAACTTTCGCGCCAAAACCTTCACCCGGTTGTACGTGAGGCCTCGTCATACTTTGGAGCTAAGCTTGAATTTGTCAGGCCTCAACAAAAGCATGAAACATTTTTCTGACGTTTACAGCCTTCTAGCTCTTCTTGTTCCCGAGATTTCACAGGGCCGTAAGTGCGACCCACGCTTATGCGAAAGCTGAATTCGAATTTGTGCGGTTGTAGGCAAGCAGGAAACATTATCTAAAATTTTAGCTTCCTAGTTTTCGTGATTCCCGAGACAGTAGCTTTTTCGCCAAAATTTTCATGGAACCCTGCGTGGCACACAGACAAACAGGAAGACTGGAATTTAAATTTGCGGTGTCGCACATACCCCAAAATTTCAGACTCCTAGCTTTCGTGGTTCCCCAAACAGTAACCTTCCTCGTCGAAACTTTTATGGGCCGCATATGATACCCGGGAGCGCGGGAGAACTTAGTTTAAATTTGCTGGATTGCAGGGAGGCAAGAGACATTATCTTAACATTTCAGCTTCCCAGCTTTCGTGGGTCCAGGAATTATAATTTCTCTCACCAAAACATCCGCGGGGTAGTACGTCATATGAGTTTAAAATTGAGAGGTCGCACGTGGGCGGGGAATATTCTGCCGAAATTTCAGCTTCCCAGCTCTCGTGGTTCTTGAAATAATAATTCTCCCAGTCAAAACTTCTGCGAGGTCGCACGTAGTACCTGTAAGAAGAGGGGGGAGGCACACGAAAGTTGAATTTAAGTTTGTAGGGTCGCATGTGGGCGGGGAGCATTCTAATTCCAATTTCCTAATTTCTCTGGTTCCCGAGTTGAAACACTCAGACAAAATGTACTCGGAACACACACAGACATATACACATACACACATAACACAAACACACTCACACAAACACACGCACAAATACACACACACAATGAGTCTTGGCAATATAGGTTCTGCGCAACTGTTGCAGCACAAAACGCACAAAAACTGACAGCTGCGAGCAGTATGGGAGAACTTAAAAAGATGACAGGAAATTCTGCAAAGAAAAGCTACGGAAAGCAGATCAGAAAACTCGCACAAAAAGAGTTTGACAGGTGGTGTGCATTTACAGCGAATGCAACAAGACAACAAATCAAAATGTACAAAAAAAAAAATCTTTGAGGATTTTAATAAACCACCGTTTTTGTCTGTCCCCGCGGTAAGCTGCTGCTCCCAGCATTTGGCCAAAACACAATATGTACAATAAATCTCCAAAAGATAAAACAGTGCCGGACAAACCCGTGAGCAAGAATTCCTAGTACGAGGTGAAGAAGTCACAAAAGCACTCAGCACACGATTTAGCTGATTCAGGATAAGTGCTGGCAGAAGGATACAGATCCGCAACTACATCAATATTTTAGTAAATTTGCAAAAAAATCTGCAATTACTATCTACTAAAACTGCTGTCACACGTGTACAAGACTTTGTATGTGAATAGTAGTGGTTTCTGATGAAAATTCGAAAAGAATAAACAGACTAAAGTGTGGCTAAAATATTAAAGTGTGGCTTTCTATTATCGGCCACGCAATACAGCAAAATAGCGCTGGCAAAAAAAGCAGAGAATACAAGCTTCATTTGCTTGTTATTCATCGATAAAACGCCTTTCACCGGGTAAACCATAGTGCCATATTGCGCGCTCTCCCCGACCAAAGAATCAATCCGATATACATTCGAATTATAAAAAACTCACGAGGTAACACATACGTATACACACACAAGTCACTTTCCCGGACAATCTTGTAAATGCAGCTGGGAGAGAACTTACGTCTTTCGGAAACAGAGATTTTACATCGAAATAAAGTACACGAGGTGCTTGTTTTTCCAAGCTACACATTCTACCGTAGAATTTGTTAAATGAGTCTGTAAGTTATGTGAAAGAAATTTGAGCCCAAATCCACAGAGGAAAAGTCAGCGGATGAAAAAGCATGATGCCCCTAATTTGATATGAAGCTCGAAAATCCGTCCGTCGAATGAGCTCGAAGATATTACATGGGATAGAGAATGACGATTTCGCACAGAGTTAATAAAACGGAGAAAAATAAACAGCATTTACCAAGTTCCGATGTATCTTCAACAATAATTTCGCATAAGTTACGATTTTTGGATTCTGCGCGTCAAATGGCAACAAAACATAGAAAACTCCGCTTGCCGAGAAAATTCGTAGTGACCCAAGGCATGAAATATGGCATGCGGCAGCAAAGGTTTACAAAAGGGTTCCTCACCAATTTTTTTTTAAATTTTTATAAAAGTAAATTTTAAAAAATTATAATTCTTTTCCATTTTCACTTTTTTCTTTCTTTTTCATTTTTTCTTTATATTACTTTCTCTCCAACTACTGCTAACTTTCAAATTACAATATAATAATAAAAAATATCACACTTCCGGTCTAACGCGAGCAATGTTATCGAGACAAAATGTTACTATGGAGAAGAGCTGGACTAGCAATAACAGTTGAGTTGGGTGAGGAAGATAAAAGAAAAAGCGGACTGTTGAACAATGCCCAAGCACTGTTAAAAGGACACTGGGAATGTGCTTAATAAGGTAACCAATTAAAAACCCAAAAAAACTACGCCGGTTCAGCTCAGAATATTTGCTGTCCACATCAGCAGCAAGAAGTCGATCAGAGAACAATAAATGTCAAAAAGTACCATAAGCAGACCAGAACATCAATGAATTAGCTGCAAGCGATTAAACTGTAGTTTCAAAAAGCTGGCTATTTTTCGCCAGACGAAGCACAAAATAAGCAGAAAAATACCATCTCAAAAAAATGCAGGCGCAATTTTTGACGACGGGAACTACTTAGGCGCCAGAGTTAAGATGCGCTTTTTTGCCGGAATTTGTTTACATCACTGTAGGGATTTGATAAATTTGCGCAAAAACAAATGAATTTGATAAGACAAAGCAAAAATTTCTACGTATGCACTACTGTTTTAATTAAACGAAAAAAAAAACCTGGCACAATGAGAAAAAAAAAAGTATTAGTGGGAGTATATTTCTGCCTGCCTGTAGAAATAATGAAACTCGAGAACCACGAAATCCCGGAAGCTAAACAAAGAAAAAGTAGCCAGCAATTAAGTACCAGAATGAGGCTGCAAAATCTGAGATCAGACACACCTCTCTGAGTTCCGATATAATGCTTCAGGCTCAAATTTAAGCTGAATTTTTTACGCAAGAATGGACAAGAGCAAGTACATGAAGCTTCGACGGATGAAATGTTTTGAGAAATCTGCATTTCTCCAAATTAGCCTTTAATTTTACTATACACTAACCTGTATCTCAAACCCAAATTCAGGCTATGCCCGATAAATTCAATATTGGTGCGCGCCAGAAACTCGTCTAAGCGTAACGAACCGCGCAAAGCAGCATGAATAGCGAGAAATTAGATTTCAAAGCCATCGTTTAGTGAAATGGGATCTCATGTCCAACTCGGGCTAATTCAGTAACTTTAAAATAGGACGGGCTACACAATGTGAATTTTCTTGTTTATCTTATTGCAGTAATAAGAATCAAATAACGAACTGTTCCACAATTCGATGAATGATTTAGACAAACATAGCGGTGTGAAAAAACGATATGCATAGGCTATTACCGATGGATGAGATTTGGTGCGTAAAAATGCAGCAGTTTCCTAATGTTTCCGGCTTCCGCTTGCCTCATTCAGATTTGTGAATAGTTTGATGCACTCGTATTTGGAATGCCATTAGATTCTAGTGAGCAACAAAAGCTTTCCGTCCCAAAAACCGCAAAAAAAAAGCATACGTCAAACAAACAGTTATTTTCAGTGTACTGCTCTTAAATGCCTTATCCCAGTGCACATAATGTACTAACATAAAAATGCTGCTAAATTTCTCATTTCAATTTGACTGTGTACCGCTCCCTCTGCGAACAGCACTGGACAACTAAGATGTGCTCACTCAGAACGTCATCAAATGTGAAAAAGGCAATGAGACAACCGCAGGCGTTAGGAAATAGTGTGCAATTCGTAAAAATTCCCATAAGCCAGTAAAAAAAGTAAATATTAACTACAAATGCCAATGCACATTAAGATGCTATGGGGACTGCTTCAAGTACTCTCAAGAGCTCTCGAACAACAGCATCACCTTGAAGCAACCAACATCAGCAAGAAATGTTGGAGGAAACAATGGAAGTTCCAGTTCGCCTCTTGTAAAAAAAATTTACGTAACATTTCGAGTAAAGTAGCACAGCACAATTCATTCTGAAACCGTACACGATGTTGGCCTTGGAACTTTTACAAATTCCGCACTTGCTTTGTACAAACTAAGTACATCGCTTCGCAACTATGTACCGTCTCTGTTCGAGAGGATACAGAATTCTGTATTCAAATTTTTCTGTGCCTTCGAATAATCGGTATGAAAATTCGGTGCTGCTGGTGTACGGGAATGCACTTCAGACGTTCAGCTCTAGCAATATCTCGTTAACTTCGTAACCGTAACTCACAGTAACAGTTAAATCACCCCGAGAGCAAAGGCTTTTCTGTTCTGTCACCATTCAGGTTGTGAATCGCATTTTCAAAATGGATCTTGAGAGCTTGACTAATGTGTGCCTGCCTTCTTGCCTTACGAATCTTCCAACCAGTATGCGGTCCAGAAAAGAAACAGCCATGCGATTAGAGGGCGCGCAGGATGCGGCTGTGAAACTCAAGAAAGCAAGATCCGCTCAAGGGAACATGCTGCTCGTCCTGACAACAATCGGCGAACATTGTATACTAGGCAATGGTACCATTGTATATTAAGCGGTAACACTTGCAAGCAGAGCACGCAACGCCCAATGAGCGATGGCGAGGGAGAGAGAAAAATAAAAAGTGGCACTTCTGAATAGGATGAAACTGGTGGGAAATTGCGAATGACTGAAAATCCGGAAGATTTTAAGAACTAATAATCAAGGGAGCAGCGAGGTTTCACTGTTGTGCAGTAGGCCGAAGGTTTGATTCCACCGTTGGCGCAGAAAATCCCTGCACGATTCGTTCATTCGTTTCGATGGCAAATTGGTGCCGGTATATGCCAGGGAGTTCAACATTCACCAGCCGGCTTGCAAGCAGTATTCGAAAGAAGCAACCATCAACAGCTCTGATAGCTGGTGGTTACTGTTAGCATTTGTTTAACACTCGGCTACTGAATACCTTCGCTTCTCGTTCAGGACTAATACATCGAGGTATTTGACTTCTGGCTCTAGAAACAGACTGAAGCCTGGTCAACGTGTGATACGGGAAGGATTACAATGAAACCAATTCGCGATGAACGGAAACAAAACAGCGAGTCAAAAATACGCCAAAATTTCAAACAAAGAAAGAAATGCTTGTAGAGAGGCGGTAACTAATTGGAACATTCAGTAAAATGTACCGTTAAACCAACTGCCATGCAAACTTTTGAAAGCTTCGCCACAATCGAACAGCGACGCAAAACGAACAAATACCAGTCCTTCTTGCGAACCCGTCTCAACATGCATATGCACTGGCACAAGTGGTTTCAGTTTTTGCAACAGAGAATGTTCTATTTCCTCTTTCTGGCCTTCAGCATTTCTGAAACACTTCCAGCAAACAGTGGCGAATGAAACAGCTGAGCGCACCAATTAAGGGTTACTGGAATTAGAGAGCCGCGCACTGTGGCGCTGCTTATAATCTAAAATACAACTAGGGGTTTGAACCAATGGACAAGGGCACTCACTTCACTGAGGAAAATAAGCCGCGCAGCTTCAAACAATGCGATGGAGCATTTTCAGGCGCATGACGCCGCATACTAGCATCAAAAGCTGCAAAAAAAAAAATCACATTTTATTTGAAATTTACGATAATCAATCAAAGTCTGGCTGCAATTGGATGAAATCTTTCCTTCAAATCATGACAACGGACGGACCATCACAGCAGAGCATAAATTCTTAATTAAAAACGTAAGCTTTCAAAGGAGCAAGGAAACGAATGACAGGAAATCCAAAGTGAAGCAGCCTACTGTTCTTATCTTAGAAGCACCTTAACTGACGTTTGTACAGTGGAAATTTACGAAGAACCCTTGAAAAATCGCTGCCATCGAAATGTACCCGAATCATCAACTATTTCGTGCATTCATGAAGAACGCCAAAAGCAGTTTTTGAGGCTAAAGTCAATTCGTGAAAGGCAAAAACAAAGTAGCCAAAAGTTCGGCGTAATCAAACAGATGGGGAAGGGGATGAAAGAGACTTTTTTTTACCGTGGTGAAATGTTTTGCTCAGTGCATTATATGATGTAAAGCTTTGTAGTTGAATGGAAACAAACTGACGGCTACAGCCCGTGAAAAGAATTCATAAGCAATTTTACACTCATCGTACTAACCGTTCCGAGCTACCGAGTATTCGCGGAGCACTTTTTAGAACACCAAATTCATCAATCTTTTATCACAATTTTTCATTACTCAAAAGCGCGCAGCTCAGCAAAGCAACGGAAGTATTCAACTATGCTGACACAGGTGGAGCACAGGGGTTATAAAAGTAGCTGTCTAATGGTGCAGGCATGTGTAATAAAATGTACTGCCGCAATAAACTGCAAAAATAATCTATAAACCGTGGCCTAGCAAATTTTGGGCATCTGCAGACCAGTCATTCTGGCCATTTGCCCCTGTAGAAAATGCAAAAACTGCGCAGTCTGAATTCGAGCACTGGAATTTTTGACCCAAAGTGAAGTCACAGATCTCTTCTGTATTTCAACCCATTTTAGGCTGCAAGACAGAACAAGTTAAGCAAGTAAATTTCGATGGTTTTGTTTCTCACAGAATTGATAATAATTGGCTAGCGCACCGATCGCTGGTGCGAATATGCGTTTTTTGCATAGTTTCATGCAAATTTTTTTCGCTAACGGCACTGTTTTTTACCGGTAAATGCTTCTAGTTAAAAGAACTGGTACTGGTCGCCTGGACTGTCAGGAATCATCCCTTTAAAATTTCAACTTTCTAGCTATCCTGATTTCCAAGTCTGTGTTACCCACAAAAAACTTTCGCGGGCTTGTACGTAGGAACCACGCATACCCGGGGGCTAGGTTTGAACTCAACAGGACCTACTCGGACGGAAAACACCTTAAAACTTCAGCTTTCTAGTTTTTCTGGTTCCCGAGTTAGCAACTTATCCGAAGAAAACTACTACGAGCCCGTACGTGGGAACCACTTATACCTGAGGAAACTGTACAAAGTCCCAGCAGTGGCGCTAAGATCGCAAAGCACACAGCATTCGGTTTACCAGAAAAACGGTTTATCTTGGATGAAAAAAGATGCTGACAGAGTGGAAGAAACCCACAAGAGTGCTGACATCGAAAAGAAGAGATTACGGAGGTGTCTACAGCTGTCATTCAGTATGCCTGCCGTTACGCATGCACAAAATTTTTATCCGCATAATTTGTGCCCGAATCGAAGTGACTTTTGATGAGAATTCAAGAAGACAGAAAGCAGGCTGGAGAAGCGTATTCCCCAATATCAACATTTACATAGTAAAAAACAAATACAATGGAGCGAATAACACAAAACTGTTCTATAACGGCTATTCATCGGCTTCAAAAAAAAAACTTTCGACCTAATGGAACATACCGCCGTGCTGCAAGCTTTCTCCGCTCAAAGGAAGGGAGCGGTACATACGAATTATTACTGAGTCATAAACAGAAACCATCCTTTTTCTACGCGCCCTAAGATTAAAAATCAGCCCAAGACATAAGAATACACAAAGAACGAATGCCAGTATCTCCTGTTAATGATGTTACTGCGATGCTCCCAAAAGACAGGCGCAGCTATGCCAGGTCTTACTATTTTGAGCTGCATACTTCGCTGTACCCACCGTCTGCCCAATGAAAGGTGCCACTTTTTTGAGGGTCGTCCGAGAAGTCGTTTTCTGTCTCGCGGGTACCACTCACTAATGCGCAAAATCAACTACTGTCCACAAAGCAAGCAACATGCCTTGCCCATCGAATCACACTTCGCGCGTGGTCACAACACTATTCTACATGCGGCGAGCGTAACTGCTTATTTAGTGAAGAGACACGTCAGGAATATTTCGCTTCATTTTTTTTTTTTTAATCATAGCCAGTGCCTGCCCTTCAGCTATTGTCAGTGACCACATTTCGCATCCTACACAGTGAAACTGAAGAGATGAGCTTGGTCCTTCCGATTTGACGGCTTGATGATATCGTCGATGCTGTGAAGACTGCATCAATCGGTAACCCTTCTACGTGCAACCACTGGCTGGAAACCGTGGTGCTTATTTATTTCGTAACCAAAATAAACGTAGCTTCCTACGCTTTCAAACCCACTTCAAGTGCAGGGCTCCTGTAACGCCTCATTTATCACGCCAGCTCTTCTCGCAATAATTCTGCTGCCCGCGAAGCGTCGACAATTTATCGCTTGTTACATATACACACATATGTGTATACAAAGACATATACATATATACATGTATATATGCTAGTGGACATAGCTGATCACACGCTCAAAGTTCTCGCCTGCCGATGAGAGGAACAATATGTATGAGCTTAACCTCAAAGATTTATTTATTTAATCGAACGATAGCACTAGGAGAGAGCCGAAACTTTCTCTGATATCAACCTGTTTTTAAGCAGCCCTTGAAAGGAGAAACCACTGATAGCCTTGTCGGTGGGTGTAACTGAAATTGATACGTGCTACCACTCGGATTACTTCAGAGTGCATTCGCCATTCACTGCTTATCTGCACCAGTCCAACGCAACTTCATCGGACAGAAAAACACCACCCAGCGACAGTCGAATTTTTGCGAGAGTTTTGTAACAATTACGGACTCTTCTCGTTTCTAATCTTGTGTTCCAGGGAGAACAGCATTTGGATAGGGAGCAGGATTTTACTTTACTCGCTCATAATTTATGCAATATTTGGATGGGGAAAGGAGGAATTCGGGACGCATACTTTATGCCAGTAACTTGGGCTGAATATCTATCTTTTTATCGACAACTTTCCTTATTGGAGAAGGGAAGAACACGGTTTATAGCAACAGGCAGTTTGTCCTACTTTCCGGGGGACAGAGAGCACTCGATACTACCAAAATGTACAATGCTTCCCACTTCAAGTCTTCAGTCAATGCGGACCACTTGTCTTCGAATACACTCAACCCGTTGTCCAAAGATTGCTATTCTCCGCTTCGAAACATTCACTTTCCTCTTCCGGCAATACCACTCAATAAGAAGTGGCGACCGCCGCCCGTCACTAAAGCTGTCAAAGAAAAAAAAAAAA